TCGGCCTCCCAGCACCACGCCAGGCTCCCTCTCCATCTGATTCAGGAGGCTAACACCATCCCCTCACAGAGGACCAGGAGAATTCAGCAGTGCAGAGGCTCCCTGCTCTGCCCTGATTTCAGCACTCACCCTGCAGAAGCGAACTGAGATTGCTCTAACTTCCAAAACCCACCTCGGGGACGCGCTGGTGCACGCCGTCTAGTGAGCTCACACACGTGGGCGCGTGGGCATGTACGCGGAGACACACACGCGAGCGCCCCGATCGTGCCCCAAGGGTCCTGGCGCGGTGCGGTCCTCCTGTCTCCCGCCTCCGTGTCGCTGTCCCCGCCGCCTTCCTCCTCCGCTCCTCCTCCTAGTCAAGCCCTGCAAAGACTTCGCCAAAAGGCCGGAACCCCGAGGGGGCGGGGTGGGACCGAGCCCCAGCGGGAAGGGAAGCAGGTGCTTTGCGGCCAGTAGCAGAGTCCGCGGCGCGCAAATCTGGAGGACCCAGGCCTGCACTCTGGTCGGGGCCATTGGTCTCGGGGTGGCCTGCTCTGGGGGAGCTCCCAGGTCCCGCGCACCCCAGAAGAGTCCACACCGCCATCCTCGCGTGTGTCTCCTCCGCCCCCTGCAGGCCTCGGGGCGCCATGACCCAGCGAGACACCCAGGGTGAGGCTCACAGGGCTCTAGCAGAGCCATGGTCTGCAGAAGTGGGGTGCCTGGGCATTATTCTCCGATGAGAGCGAGCTACAGAGCAGGGAGGAGCAGTCGCTGCGCTGGGATCTCAGAGTGTTTCTGTGTGGTGGAACTGTTCTTAAACAAGGAACAGTGATTTCCTTCCTTTACCCAGTCACCATGAATCACTGCATAATAAAAAAGAGCATAGAATTATTGAAATAACTCTTAAAACATAGCAGCGTCCATGGCTGTTGGGGCGGGTTTAGTCACACTTTTTAGCCCAAATTAGTTCAGCACATAAAATGGAAAGCACACATTTATCTTCGTAAACACAAAAATAGTCATTTAGCAAAACTCAGCATCTTTTCTGCTTTAATAACACCGAGAAAATGGGAAGGAGAAAAGAATGTTTCTCAGTCTGATAAAGACCATCCGTTAGGAATCTAGAGCCAATTCCTTATCATTGGTGAGTCATTTCGCTCTGTCCTGAGATCCTCATATGGACTCTCACCTAAAAGAAATGCGTTACGTAAAGAAATGAAACTAGAAATGATAAAACTTCAAGAGGAAGAAATGAAAGGGTTGGTTTTGACAGAAGGCGTGCTTATATGTCCATTGTCTTTGAAATCTACAAAAGCAGCAAAGAAAGAAAGAAAATCCATGGAGTTTGCTGAGTTGATCAGAGTAACAGAACGTGAGATTGATACTGGTGATGGAAATTCAAAACATAAAACTTATTAAGAATGTTATCTGCAATGGCATTTTAAAAATTAACCATCAAAACGCAAGTCCTCTGGAAGAAATTTAACTACGAAAATAGACAAAGCAGAAAAGGAAAGATATCTACAGAGGTGTATACCATGTTCATGGATGGCAAGTTTCACTGTTGTTGATACGAGTATCGGCTACATTTTAGGCTGCCTGGATTGTGGAGCCTGTATAATTAATGCAATTCAAATCCAAGGAGTAATTTTCAAAGACTTTGAGAAGCGGTTTTTAAAATACATATATGGAGATTCAAATGATCAAGAATTATCAGGACAGTTGTGAAAAAGAACAAAGCCCTGACCCTTTATCAGTGAACGTACCCTGTCTGGAAGGTTTGCAACAAAGCAAGATTAATCATAGAAGTGTGATATTTTCGGGACTATACAAACTGGAAATAGCAAATAGATTAACAGATTCACAGGAATATTCAACAAGTATTTTATCAGTAGTCTATGTCAATTCATGGGGGAAGAGAAATAATGACTCTCACGAATGTTACCCGAATACCTAGGTATCTGTATGGAAAAGAGAAACTGAATTCTGACCCTTATCTAATTCGGTTCATTCTCTACAAATCACAAAATTACTTGAAAGCTAGAACCACAGCTATGTCATAAAAATAAACAGGAGCCTATTTCCATGTCCTTGGGGAAAATGAAAGAGAATCCCTAAAATGTAAGGAGCCCTATGCATGACAAATTGATCTGCTGAATGTCACTGAAATTAAAGCTGTTCATCAGTGCAGTCATCACTTTCAAAACATGAAAAGTAAACTTAAAACTCTCACATCTCTCTGGCATATAACTTGTACCCATAATATATGAAAAATGTCTGCACATCAGCAATATAGGAAGAAACAACACAGTTTATATGTGGCAAAAGATTTTATGTCCACCAAAAAATATTTACTTATAGCCAGTTAAATCAAAGACTCAGTAACATTAATGGCCAGAGAACTGCAAATCAAGACCACAGTGAGATTCACTTAACAACCACGAAAATGACTGAAGTATAAAAGAATGTGATAATACCAGTCGTAGATGACTCACCAGTGACAAATCACTCATCAATAACTGGGGGATGTAAGATGATAGACTAGTTAGCAGAAACATTTTCCAGTTCTCCAAAAATTTTAACCTACCCATCGGTGCTCCTAGGTGTTGGACAATAAATAAAAACAGATATTCTCAGGAATGTTTATCAGAGCCATATTCATAGCCATAATGATCCAAATGTCTAAGAAGAAAAAAAAGATTAAACAAATACTTAGCCACATAACACAGTACAGAGAAACCAGTGACTCAAAAAAAAAAAATCGAGTGAGGATTTAAAATGGAACATTGTAGCCAAGTCACCAGATACAACACCACCCAAGTGTATTCACTCGGAAAACTGACAGGACTGAGCCACGCAGGTGAAAATGAGAACATTGTTTGCCCGTGGAGGAGGACAGGAGCCCACTGAGATGTCTCAGAGGAATTTTCTAGAGCGATGATGTCTGGCTTGTGTTCTGACTACAGAGGTGTGTTAGAAGACCATGATTCATTGGAACTGAATGCTGAGGATGTTCGCATTATTTTATGCAAACATGACTGAAGTAATTCTTGGTGGTCTTATAATTTTCGAGCATTTTCACCATACTTGTATGTTTTACCTCTAGCAGGTTTCCTGTGGATCTGTCCTGTGTGGACCTATTACTGCCCCATACAGTGGAGACAGGGAGACAGTGAAGTTTGAGGCGCTGGCATGAGAATTCAGGTGTCTGGCAGTTCTCTAACCTCACAATGACCTGCAGCTTGGAATCATGAGCAAGCCTTGCAGCTGATCAGTGGTCACCATCTCAGCCCTCCCACCTTCCAGTCACAAAGGGCTCAGGAGAGTGGAAACTCATCTGTGCCTGCTCCAGAGCAAGGAACTCAGTATTATGAAACCACAGACGAGACCATCACATATGCCATGTAATCACGTCCTTTGTAGCTGCTGTAGAAAGATGCCAGACTCAGCTTTATGCTTTCAACAGCTAATGTAAACAGGGAACTAAAATCAGTTTCAAAATTCCCTAGTCCATAAATCAAAACCACACCCATCACTTTAGTGAGGCAAGAGGGTCAGGTAAATGCATAACTGCTCCCAGTAATGAGAACAGAGAGAAGTTAGCTTTTGGAGATCTTCACAGAAAGAAGTCACAGACTATAACCAACATTATAATAGACACAGAGAGGTTTTTAAAGTAACTACAACTGTTGTTGCTTACTGATATTTTTCCTGTGATTCGAATATTTCTATATTTGCATTAGCATAGAAACCCAAAGTGTTTAGTATTATTATGGTCATTTTACCTAAGGGGACCAAGCTTTGAAGACATTAAGGGATTCGTGACCACTGTCTTCATTGTGTTTCTTGCTGCTGAGACAAAATACCCAACACCCGAAGGTAGAGAGGAAAGGTTTATTTGGCTCACAGTTAGTAGAGGTTTCAGTCCATAGCTGGCTGGCTCCAGGGCAGGTGGCATGGCAGAGGGCATCGCAGAGGAGAAAGAGTTCATGGGGGGCAGAAGGCAGCAAGGCAGTAAGTGAAAAGCAACAACCTTCTTCTGTCCTTGTGTTTTATCCAGGCTTACTCACTCACAACCAGGGTGGGCATCCTTAATCCCACCCAGAACTAGGTCAAGCCAATCAGTGGGCTGATTTAGTAATCACACAGCTTTGGTGCCTGCATCACACACGGTAGATCCACCTCTGAGAAACCCCACCCTATGCCCACATGAGGCTTTGGGGAGACGTTTAGATACAAGCCATATCAGCCACATGGGTGGTGAATCAAAAAGAAATTCATAGATTGATTCCAAATTATATGATGAAAACCAGCCAAATATGCTCTGTCCTTTCCATTCCCCATTACTTGCCTCTTCAGTGTCTGTTAGTGACACATAAAAGCACAAAAGTCTGCCACTGAAGTCACATTTTGCAAATCATGATGCAGGGTGTCTAAATGTGAATCTGATGCCCACTTCATATGAAATTCTGTGCTTTGAATTCAACTTCAGCTGATGTTTCTTTCATCTGGCAACCCGAGCTGAGGCTGTGGATTAGGAATAGAGGGTCCCAGAAAGCAGAAAAGCTGTGGATACATCAGACAGCCCTCTGGAGGTGTGATTTCAGTCAGGATTCTGAAACAGGCACTGAAGATCAATGAATTCCAGGTCACCGTCTCTCTGTCACTCAGCTTTCTATATCAGTAAAATATGAACTCATTTAACTGATGCAGTGGTTCAACTAAGTAGGATCTTATTACCTGCTTGCAAACTTTGATGTGTAGCCTACATCCCTTTCAGGCTATTGGGATGCTGTGACCAAAGTGAGGGATCAAGGACCCCTGTCCCCAGGAATGAAGGTTCAAGTGGACACTCAGCCAGTGATACCCAGTGATACTCCTATGATACGCCTGTGGCCCCGAATTGTGTGCTGCCCTGCAGGCAGTGGCCAGAGGATGCCTGGCTACAAATTACCTTCATCCTGCCCACATATTTTGTCAAAAACATTTTAATAAATTGCACAAATACTGTAACACATGAAATAGTCTCAAACTTTTTAATCAACATTTTCATTGAGAGGTGTACGATATAACAGTAGGGTAGAATTATTTATAATGACATAATTATTTATACTTAAGGCTTTTTCAGTTCCATCCAATGTAGCACAGCCATAAAATGGAACATTGTGAATATTTTTAAAATTTAAAAAATTCAATGACATGCCAATAATTTTTATTATGATTTTAGGTAGAAAACATAAAATTCACTCTCTGTTGCTGGTACAAAATATGTGACCTACAAAATTTAAAAGAGGAAAGGCTTATTTCGGCTCGGGGTTTCACAAGTTGCAGCCAATTGTCAGTGGGCTCCGTTTGCATGACGCCTGTGGTGAAGCAGAATGCTCACAGTGGAAGGGCAGGGTGGGAGGAAACGTCACCTCGTGGCAGAGGACAGCAAAGGGAAAGGAAGAGTCAGCATCAGGAAGGGAGCTAGGCCAGTGGGGGTGAGCCTACAGAACGTGTGCCACTGCAGGCTGCTTCTTACTACCGAAGGCTCTAAACGGTTCTCCATCCCCGAGCCAGGCCAAGATACGCCCTTCAAAGGCCTGCCCTGCTGACCTGGCGCTTCCGATTAGGCCCCGGCTCCTAACACCCATCAGGCTACAAACTCCTCAATGATATTAGCACCCTCCAGGTATGAGCCTTGGGTAGGGGCTCTATATTTAAGCTGTGCCACATAATATTGTGTAATTCTATCTATATAAATGATTTTTAATTTTTAATTTAAAAAAGACTCATTTTTTAAATTGAGATCCTGTTTTGAAACAATGTAGCCCTCACCACTGAGCACTTAGAAGTGGTACAGCACGAAAATGGGGACCTAGTTCAATGGTAATGGCGTGGAGCTAGTGTGTGCTGGATCCTGGGCTCCACCTGCAACCGAAGGAGCATCACTGCTGTTCCTGCACCGGGAGGCCTCACCGGGAGCCTCTTTGCGGGGGTCTGCTTGGCGTTGGCATTTGGTACCTCACATGCTTCCAGAACTTGGAGTTCAGGGACTGCTTGTTGGCCACGAGGTCTTCCCTCCACTTGATGGTGCCCTGTGCCCGCATGAGGTGGCTGAGGGCGTCTTGAAGCCCTGCAGCCTGCAGTCCTCTGGGTTCAGCCTCTGCCTCCATCTCAATCAGAATCACCTTGGAGTCGCCCTGGATGAGGGCACAGTGCAGGGCCACCTCCTGCTTGTAGGCGAACTCCTTGCTGTGTGATGTGTGCGGCGTCAGGACAAATAGGTGCCGCCTGCTCTTTCGGATGCTGGACTCCACCGCAGTGGCCACATCTGCTCACAGGAGAAAGAGACTGAGATTTTATATCCCTGCTTGTTACACCTAATGCTTGGGTCATAAGTGTTCTCAACATTTAAAAAATCCTCTTGTTATAAACGGGTGTGCAATACCCATCACCTCTTGTTCAGGGAGTGGAAGTGAACCTGGGTAGAGAGCGTGTTTCTCTCTTCTCACCCATTTCCCACACACAAATGTCAGCCCCAGGACCTCTCTGCTCCTAGGTAGATCAGTCCTGAGACAGTCTTCCAGCTAGATGGGGATGTGGACCAGCTACCCTGAAACTTCCTGGTGGCTTTGAATGTGGGCTCCCAGGAATGTCCTTAGATTACTGCATCTTAGTGTGGATGTCTGCTTTTGTGCTGCAAAGAAGGTCCACATCTGAACTCTCAGATCAGAGATTCCAAACTCAGGAAGCATGGCCACCCCTTTCTTGAACAGATCATAGGTTCCAGGGAGGTCCTGGGTCCACTTCAGCCCCAACAATCTCTATTATAGGAGCTGGTTTGACCCAGACTAGAGAAAGCTGGAGGGAGCTCAGCTCTCAGGCCGAGTAACAGAGCATCAATACCCTGGTGATTCTGCCAGGTCTGGATGGACCTACGAAGCCGTGCCTGTCACCCCGTCTCACTGAGGCAGGCGGAAGTGTATTAAAGAAGGCCAGCCAGGACCAAGCAGCTAGAAAGCTTCTCACATAGCCACTGCTGCAGGCTGCAAGTGCTCACAGTCTGAGATGAGAAGATGAGGGTGAGGCTGTGTGGGGTGGAGACCGCTGGCCAGGACCCCACTCTGGATGGAGGCCGTGCAGAAGACAGGCACTGTGGGAACAGACAGGATGCAGGGCCAGCCTGGCCCTTTCCCTAGGGGACAGTGGAGGTTGGGAGTGTGCTTCTGAGTTTTGCTCTACCTGGGTGAAGGTGTGGTGGGGTCCGAGGACCAGCACCGAGGCAAGCGACATGAGACCAACCCAAGCTAGTGTGGTGCTGTGCAGGGAGGTCGGCACAGATCTGTGGGCAGGGAATGTCCAAGTAGCCGAGCGGGCTGGGGAGCAGAGTAACTTGAAGTTAGCTCCACGGGCTGAGAGTAAAGGGAGGAAGAGCTTGTGGCCAGCAGTGATGCACACTGTGGGCTCCTAGACCACTGGGGACCCCAAGGTGCCTGAGCACACTTGTGATGTGGGAATGGCACTAGAGGCTGTCACCTACTACCCTCTCCATGCAGGTGGTCACTGGGCACATGGGGAAGCCAGGAAGCCCCTGAGAAGAACAGGACTGCGTCCTCTTGAACCGTACATGTTCAGGTCTCCAGAGCCTTTACCAGGCGGTTAGCACTACCAGATCTTCCAGAAGGAACCAAACTCAACTATGCGTGTGTCTTTCCTACAACAGGGATTTAACATCGGCTTGCAATGCTAAACACAATGTTGAGTGATCTGTTCACACTCTCTGGGTCCCTTTCACATCCCAAATGTTTCCCGATCTTTGAAGAATTAAAGAAGGGTTCAAAGGGAGAGTTAAAAGTTCCTTGACACAAATATAGGAAGGGAAGACAAAAATAACTATTGAAATTGCTGGCATTAGGCCAAAATGTCAAAAGTACCTGACATCGGCTCAAAGTATTAAGAAACAGCAGCCACAGCTCTTCTTATTCTGCTGAGAATACGTTGGTAAAGATTTCCTCCATACAAGGAGAATGAAGGCACTCCGAGTGCATTACTTTTTTAGCTAGTGCCCGTGACTATTATAACCCAATTCTTCACATGTTCGGTCCTCTTTCAAATCTCCTGAAGACAGTGACGGGTCACAGACATCCTTGGGGAGACAGAGGAAACAAAACGGGGCCGTGCCCTGTTCTGCAAGATTGAGGGTGCCTGGCTCTCACACTGCTCTAAACTTGTCCAGTGGCCCACATTCCTGAGAGGATCAATGACAGAGGAGAAGCACTTCTCACAGGGCCATTTTAAAGCTCCGATGTGAGGTCTCATTTGTCAACATAATTCCTTTTCTATTGCAGGACTAAGATCCATTTAGCCTCAGGCTTTCACTGGGGCTGGGGTGGGGGCTTCTGCCTCTGACTGTGTGGGGAGCTTTACCTTCTCCAGGGAGCAGATCTCTCCCGTAAATGCATAAGCTGTATCCACATTTATTTTCAAGAACACTGGGCAGCATCTCGTGGACAAAGTACTCCATAGAGCTGGGTCCCTCGGAACCGCCTGTGTAGTCCCTCGGATATACGACATAAGCATCATAGAGCTTTCCATCTGGGACAAAACCAAAAAGGACAATTTTAGTGTCCAGTCCTAAAGACTTCCGCTTGAAGCTTAGCAGTCTTTCCTCACCAAGTCACGTGGCGTTGGTGAATGTACCTATTGCCCTCAAATATTCTGGAGGCAGAGGATGGAGAAAACCTACCACCCCAAAATGTGATCGGGCAATGGCAATCTTAGTCCCAAAGCCCTCTCTGCTTGCACTGCCTCAGACTGAGTGACAGCAAACAGACCAGAGCTTGTCCAGGGTAGATTAAGCTGTGTGGCCAGGCTTGGTCGTGGTGAACCTATCACTGAGCATCTGTAGCAATGGACAGGGTTCTGGATCTGTGCCTGGTAGGGCACGGTGTCATCTCTCACTTTCTCTGGACATTTGAACCCATGACCTTCAGGGGATGCATTCTGAGACAGGTAGCCGATGCCTGACACCACAGACAGTAGCAGTTCCTTGGTAGTAGGTAACATGTTGTTCACTTACAATAAAGCGTAACTCATGGATCAGGCACAGTAAGAGTTTAACGACAATAATTTAAAGTAGGAAAATCATAACAATCGGCTGTCACAAAGTCACCATCGGCTCAAAGTATTAAGAAACAGCAGCCACAGCTCTTCTTATTCTGCTAAGAATACGTTGGTAAAGATTTCCTCCTGCACCTGGGGGCCCCAATGAGGTAAAGTAAGGATTACTTGAACAGGAGCACTGCGACTTCACAGCCACCCATCTGATAACCAAGACACTGAGGTACAGGCAGCCAGCGAGGACAGCCTGGATATGATGGGTTGTCACGGGTGGGGCGGAGTGGGGCCTTGTGAGATGTCCTCATGGCACACAGAAAGGCGTGCACTTCATAACTTGCGTTTTATGTTTCCTGAATTTTCCAGGAGTGTTTTGGGTTTTAGTTAGCTTTGGATAACTGAAACCATAGGAATGGGAGCCAAGGGTGAAAGGTGGGGACCACTACATGTCCCTGGAAGAAGGAAGTACTAAAGGCTGACCATGCCAAGGGAGGAGGTCGCTGAAGGTCTCAGAATCCCATAACTAACACTTAGGTAATAGTCACGTGGGCCGTGCACTGAGCTCCAGCGTGTGCTTGCTCCTAAGTGAAGCCCAGTGTCCACCTCAGCATGCAGAGCCATCCTGCTTCCTGTGGGGACTCTTACTGAGTGGGGGCTTCATACACCTGTGTCACATCCTCACATCTGGAAAACAGGACCAATTCTGTGACTTTTATTTCATCAAGCTTTACCAGCACACATTTCCCTAAATATAGAAACGTCACTGGGCTTGAGAAAAATCCATCGTGGAGTTGGTACCAGCACCAGGCTATGGGGCAGGAAGGTGGAGCTGTAGAGGTGACGCTCAGAGCTGCGGGACCCACAGAGCTGTTTGGAAAACAGTCTCTGAGAAGACTCAGAAGCCTCACTGAAAACCACAGAGAACAGAAATGGAGACCGAGTGGACAGCATGGTGATTAGGAGTTTAATGAGATAGTAATCCATAGGCATTTTTGAGGAAACCCTTGAAATTGACCATTTACCGTTCCGTGTTTTGTAAGGTCTGGCTATGTCTCTCCAGAGTAGAGTCAGATCAATCCAGAACACTTTCCGGGCTATCACCACAATACTATCACCACAGGGAAAGCAGAGCACTACATCCTGCAGCTATGTAGTAGATGTTTCCACGAAAAGACGGTGGCAAGGAGAACAATAACTATCAGTGCTATTCAGATGAGATGAAGTGGGTAAAGGCAGGGGTGCTAGCCTCCCCTGGGCGTGTGGGATTCACACCTAAGAGCTGCACCTGGAATATTCAGAGCTCCTTTAATAATGGGTAAATGGATGCTTCTTGAGCCCCACTCCATACAAAGCACCGGTTTAGGCATCAGTGCATTCTCAAGAGCCAAGGGGCAGAGCCACCTAACTAAAACAAGAGGCAAAGCTGTGGTTTCAGCTGATGGAGGCTTTTAGGTGAACTCGCCCCACGTTGGGCTGGGAAAGGAGGTCCTAGCAGGGACCAGGCCAAAAAGGAAGATGTGAGCAGAAGTGTGGACATGCTAATGCATTTGCTAAGGAACCCAAGTGTCCCATGGGGGCACTGGTAAAAGATGGGATTACGAAATGGGTCAGGGTTAGATGCAACTGGACTTAAACTCCCTGTTAAGCTTTTGCTCTACTGAGAAGGTCACAGGAGCTAAGAGAGAGTATCAGTTTGACCACTGACAGTGAAAGAGTTTTTCAGGCGAGCTGAAGCTGACAGTAGTGGAAGGCTGGTTTCTGTGGAGACAGATTGCAGGGGTTCAGCATAGAATGTGGTGCAACATTTGGGGATACAAGATGAGGAGAACTTGGAGTCCTGTGATAACGCAGAGTGTTTGCTGGAAGACTAAGGAGCATGGTCCTTAGGTCTTGCATGGTTCTGCAGGTCTGGGGGACACCCTACAGCTGAGGTGGGTGTCAGACCCAAGGCAGAAACCACAGCTGGTGAGTCTATGCAGTGCATTGGGTGGGATGTCGGTCTCTGGTTCCAGCCCTGCACCAAGCCCTTCCTCCCTGATGCCGGACCTCATGGGGCCATCACTGAAGGGCCCCACACACTCCTGGCCTCAGCAAAGGTGCATGCAGCACAGTTCACATCTCAAACTGATGCACAGAAGTCAGGTGGTAGGAACTGTGGTCATTCATAGTACCCCCGGCTGTTTTAAGCTCACTTTGCTCTTAGAATGGTTGCCCTTCTCATCTTAGAAAAGATCCTGCTCAAAGATAAACATGAGCAGAACCACAAGTGAGGTTTGGTGTTTGGTTCTTGTTCATTTTAGTTCTAATTTCCATGTGTTGGGTCTCAGATGTGACAACAAAATCACTGTCCAGTGTTCATGCATTCTTCTACCGTTCCCAGGGGTCCATCAGCTGTCTGAGCACCCAGCACTATGAAATCAGGGATGAGCAAGGTGAAGTGGTCCCAAGTTGGCAGAAGGAACTGAAAATTGCGGGGAGCCTACTGTTTCAATGGCAAGCTTTCTAATCACTGCAATGGGCTGTGTAAATAAACTCCTGCCTGGATATATGCAAGGGCTGTGCCTTCCTGGGGAGGGTCTGATGCCTCGGTGAGAGAAAGAAAGTGGTTCAATATGTTGAAAAAATCCTGAAGTTCAATATTTGCCTACGTGTTAATGATCTCATACACCTCTAGGCTTTTCTTGTGCATGGTATTGAATCGCTAACTGGTTCTTGTGTTGGTAAATGAATGGGCTGGTATGCAGGAATCTGGACTTCAGCTGTGGTCCACAGCAAGGGACTCAGCTCTCTTCGCCTTCCTTCTCTTATCTCCAAAATTAGAGACCGTCGTCATCCTTCATTCTTGGAGTGCTGAGAAATTTAGATGTAAAATAATTAAGGTCCAGGACATAGAAAATAATGTGTATGTGTGTGTCCTACTATTATTATGAGCTTTGTTTATTTAATCATTTAAAGATAAACTCTTTGTTTTTCTTATATAGAGTCAAGAAACCCTGTCATTTCAGATATAAAAGAGTCCACTATGACAATTCAATAGCAGCACAGATAGTTTTTGTTTAATTTACAGTTGTCGAAATAGTGCACCTGTGTTAACGTGAAGAAAAGCAGTTGAAATACAAATAACCTAGAAAGTATAAAAATCACACACAGGGAAAGCACAATTGTGGTGCCCAGGCGACAAGAGATGGCTCATAAATGATCATGTAAGCATGGTGCAAAGGGAGGCAGGAAGGAGCTGTGTGTGGAGGGTACAGTGGATACAGGGCTTCCCTCTGCCTGAGGTCCCACCCCCACGCCATGACCCCTGGCATGGTCCACAGTCACCCTGGTAACACAGCTATCGTCAGCCCAAGCCCAGTGTCCTGCTGAATTCATCTGTGTGTTTTCTATGACCTTACAAATCAGGGGTCAGGATCCACATTAAAACAAGAAAAAAAGGCAAAGCCCAGCTCAGGCAGAGACCTCCCATGACAACTCCAATCCTTTGAGCCCCTGTCTGTCTGTCCGACACTCACATGTGGGTATGAGCTCAGAGCTCATCTCCTTTCTTGGCTACTTGACAAATCCTGAGTGATTTCTGCATAGCTGCACTGCCCCTCTTGGAGTGTGAAAACACCCTATCCTTCTCCCTCCGCTTTGTATGGGGCCAAACCCTTCATCTGACAGACAGAAAGAGTTTGCTTGGAAACCCAAAGAACAAGCGAACACACAGACAAGAGGCCAGTGTCATCAGGAACTGGGCTGGGACATCAGGACGAGAGATCAGGGGTCCCCACAAGGAGCCATGCAGAACTGATGTCCAGTGGCACTGTTGGGGTCCAGGACAAGGAGAAGCACAAGGACTCCCAAAGAGCTCTCTTCCTGGTTTGAGCTCTCTGTAGACAACTTGTCTTCCCTTGGTTCCCTATGGCCAGGATGGGGAGGGGTGGCCAAGGAAGCAGCTGGAGTGTGAGAGGAGTTCAAGAAGCAGGAGGAGGAGGAAGAGGAAGGTGAGGAGGAGGAAGAGAAGGAGAAAGAGGAGGAGGAGGTGGAGGAAGAGGAGGGAGAGGAAGACAAGGAGGAAGAGGAGGAGGAGGAGAAGAAAGTAGATCTTCCAAAAGGCCAGAACACAAATAGCACCTCTAAAAGGAGGATCGCACTGTGTGTGACAGGTCATTTGCAGGGTCTCTGTCCTCTGAGAAGCATCTTGGCTTACAGTGGATACTGCAAACTTGGGCGACCAGCGTCTCACTAACACTCCTTACTTGGCTTTTTCTTTATCAGCCTCACAGCGCGCTGTCTCAACCCATCCAAATTCAAAGCCAGACAGCTGTATTCCAGGGACAAATCTTCTTCCTTCACTTCAGTTATTTTCAACACGGCCCTGAGACAGGGCATATTATTGCTGGAATTGAGAAGGCAGCTTGTCAGGGGTGTGTGTGTGTGTCAGAGAGAGAGAGAGAGAGAGTCTGGGGATCACACCATGCACTGCTTGTCACAGAGCCCCTTTTACTTGTCATTTTTTAAATTTTGAGACAGAGTCTCATTAAGTCATTCAGGAAGAACTGAAATCTGCAGTCCTCCTGCCTCAGCCTCCCAGTGCTGGGACCACAGATGTGCACAACCATGCCTGGCATCTTGTTACACTGAATGCTTCCTTTGTAGGTGCCCATTGTCAGGAAGGGAAGGAGAGTGCTTTGCCTTCACACAAAAATACCTTTGAATTTCCCCTTGCTCCTCTTGAAATCTTGCTACCCCCATGTCGTTGACATTAGTCCCGTTCACCTGCCACAGGAGGAACATGAAGAACTGCGGCCGTGTCCCAAAGCAGGCCACACAGGTGATGTTCACTGCCTCCCCTGGGTGAGAAGCAAACAAATCCACCAATCAGAGTAAATTCTACCAGCAGTGTTTCATTTCAGTCAAGGAGTCTATGATGGCCTGACTGCCCGCAGGTCTTCCCATCAGCTCTCAGGGCTCTAGCTCCTTCCTTCCTGCCCTCTCCCGGTGTCTCTCTCTGCCTTCACCCCAGCTCAGTGTGCAGCTTGGCTCCCACCACTCACCACTCACTCACCTCCAGGAAACCGAAAGGCGGGGACTTTTCCATGGCCAGAAACTGAGTTAGTTTCACCTGATCCCCTCCACACTTTTGTGCTCAACTGCATTCTCCTCCCCTCTCCATGAGCTCTCTTGCTTTTGCTCAGCCCAGCCCCTCATCCAGGACCCCCATGTCCAGAAACAGTGCTCTCCATGGTGCAACCCCACTCCTGGAACCTGAGACCTCCTCCTTTAGAACTGAAAGTGTCAGGGCTTTTGTCAGCCATGGCCCTGCATTTGGACAACCCTCCCTGAGCCCCAGCCCCATCGTGAGTGATATGAGGAACTCTTCTGGGAGGGGAGGAAGAAATGATCGCAGCACTTGGGTTGCAGAATGACGCCAGAGAGACGAACACAGAGGCTTGGGAGGCCGAGGGAGAGAATACAGAGCATGATGGTCACATTTTGCGTGGAAATATTGTGCAGGTCTTGAGGGAAGAAGGGTGCCCTGAGCCTGCTCTGGGGAAGGGAAGGAGAGCGGTGTAGGGAGCAGCACGTGACAGGTAACAGTCTGGGGGATGGGAAGGAGGAGAGCTAGGACAAGGTTTGAAGAATCAGGAAAAGCCCTGCTCTTGGTTGCAACAGAGTGTGGGCCTTGATGGCTGCAGCCAAGCCTGGGGGGCAAGGAGGACCAGGGCTCATGATGCTGCTTCTGCTGCTGACACCTCTGGATCCTATCCATTCCTAATGAATGCCTAGAAAGGCAGGATAGAAGAGCCAGGAAGTCTCTTTGCATGTTTCCCCTAACGTTGGATGTCTCCTTGGACACCTCTGAGCCTGACTTTTCTCAAAATCACAGTGTGAATGGTGCGTGTCTCCAGGGTAGAGGTCAGAACAAAACACAATGCAAACACAAAGCAACGTGAACTGTAAAATGCGATGCAGCTGTCAGTCCCGAATGCTGCTGGGACGTGGTTCAAACAGTCACACGTGGCTGGGGCATGTCACTGTCCTCCATGGGCTCACTCGGGGACCCCTCACATCCAGTGTTCACAGCATTCTTTCGCAATTCTCTTACCCATCTCCACTTCCTTTGTTTCGTTCTGCGAAGGCGCTGTGATCACTGGAAACATAGATGTCCCTGGCCTATCTAAAAATTAAAAACAGGAGGTGAATGTAAGTATTAAGGGAGCACTGGCTAGTATGAAGCATGAAGTTTGTCCTTTCACGGTTTTGCATCTTATTTTATAGCGATGCTCTCAATTTTTTCTGGTCAGTGCAAGTAAGCTCATATATGCAGGAAACAAACAGAATGCCTCAGTTGTAAATAAAGGCCAAAATGTACATATAGATCTTGTGAAATAGGAAGAAAATGCTCCAGTGCACAAGGGGATGAGGGAGGGAGAGAGAAGAAAGGAATAACAAAAAAATGAGAGAAGAGGAGCAAAAATGAAAATAAAGCTTTTGTAACTGAGAAGTTGAAAAGAGGGTGGGCAAATGGGGGAGAAAAGAATCAAGATATATCCTGTAAGGTACAAATTCCCTAGGATGATCATGATCATTATGGATACCTAACACTTACCAATAAACTTAATTTTTAAAATGTATAATATTTATCATACTACTTGTGATATACTATGATGCTTTCTCTTCTCTTTAGGGTCATGACAACAAATGCGGGCCTGAAACATTATTGTGTGGCCTGGCTTCTTCACTGGCATCAACAGTCCATGCCCTGTATATCTGATGCATTCATTCATCTACGTCTGTTAACTCTTTCCCCTAAACAAGGTCTTTAAAAATTTTAAATATATTTGAAAAAAATGGTTTTCAGAATTAAGCAGCCCACTTCATGTCACTGGGCAGGCCAAAAGCACTGCACCCCAGGGCTGAAAATCATGGCGCCTTGTTTTTATCACCCTCATCTGCATCCTCCACAACTTCATGGTGCACATTTGCAGACTCAGCCAACTAAGGGTCGAAGGTGTTGGGAAAGAAGCTTGCTCCCGCCCAGCTCAAGTGCTGACTGCTTTCTTGTCAGTACTCCTCACACAAAGCAGCATAACCACCATGTAACACGGTGCTTAGGTGTGGTATGGACCGTAAGTCACTTAGGGATGGCACAGACTGACAGTGTGGGTGGGTTTTATGCAGACACAGTGCCCTTTGGCATGAAGGCTTGAGCGTGTAATGGTTTGGGGATATGAAGAGCCTTGGGACAGTTACAAAGGGACAGTTAAAAAGCCATTCAAGACAGTGCATGCCATTAGCATTCAGATGGCTTCATCTTGGAAAAAAAAAAAAGTCAGAAAAAGACATAGGTGTGGTTTGGGATCAGCGGTCTCCCTTCAAATTTCTAAAACCTGACTAGGGCAATCAGCAAATGTCCCTGTGATCAGGACTAACAGGGCGGAGGGCCTGGGGCAGGGCACTCAGTGCCATCTTTGTTCCAGTGTCTGATTGTGTTGCAGGTCCCAGCTCACCTTTAACAACCAGCGACATGGTGGCTGTCACATTATAGTGGACTCCGTTCTCATTGTGTGTAAATCTACACGTGTAATCACCTTCGTCATCAGGTCCCAAGTTATGGATAAACAAATGCGACCTGTGTACCGTGTACCTTGGTCCTTGAAGAGCTTTACAGTTCTGCAACAACAAAAAAATCCCCTCACTGTTGGGTCATTCTTTTTTTGTATCTATTTTAACTGGTATCTCCAGCCCTCCCAAATGTCCTGGTACCTTAAACCACTGAAAAGGTGCGGTCCAATTGTAGGGGTACATGTTGGGACAATATATTCTGGGATTTTTTTCTGATACAGTGACTGTAGCGTACTTCACATCATCTGGAACGTGGCAATCTGTGGGCCTTTTATAGATGGTGACATTCACATAGCCAGTCATATTCCTGCTGGGACTATTAAGATAAGCTAATTAGAAAGAGTTTATTTAGCACTGTGAAACAGCTTCACCCCTCTCTAGCTTTTGCTCAGTGTGGCTTTTCTTCTTAAGCCAACCATATGCAGTGGTTCTTTTCTTACTGAAAATAATCGCTCAAATCTAGATTTGTAAATACTTTTTGTTATGCTTGAGATAAAGCCAAGCCCCTCTGCAGGCCCTAAAACATGAATCCTTAGCCATTTCTTCAAGAGCTATATCTGCTGTAATGGTCCGATCAAGTATCATAGCTATTAAGGTCCTAAAAGACTCTTCCACTCCGATGGGCTTACAAACTCAACCTTCCACAAAGGAATAGAGGAGGAGGCGGGGTTCAGCCAGCTGAGATCTCCCTACACACACTGAGGATAGGCACAAAGATTAAGGTGACTCCCGGATTGTACCTTCTGATGACACAAGTATAAACTCCAGAGTCTTCCACTTTGGCAGGGAGAAACTTCAACCTCCCCTCTGAGGCGAAGACTCTGTTACTACTCTGGGTGGGGATGCTTCGGTTTGTTTTCGGGTAATACCATTCCCTGGGGAGAAGGGAACTTCTGCCAACCGGACAGTTCACAATCAAAGCTTCGTTTTCCAGGCTCGGTGATGATGAGGACACTGCAAATGAAACACACAGATGGCCCTTAAATGATCACGTGTGAAGGTCACAATTGTGGTCCTCTTGACGTTTCCATCTAAAATTCAATTTTAAAATGAATTATATGTTGTGGCATTTGAAGAAAGGCTAAGTACATGATTAAGATCTTTTATGAAAGGCTTTATCAGGGACCATAGATGAATAAATTAACGGGGAGCTAAACCTCTCACACTGCTTCAGTGGACAAGCATCCCTGTCTACCTAAACAAAGTATGTGTCAGTCAATAAATGCCTAGGACACCTGTCACCTGCAGGCATTGAGCTAAATTCTAGCTTATTTGAGTATTGGGAAACTGTTACTTGTTTATTATGGAAAATTTCTTCTTTTCAGACCTGTGATAAAGAATAACTGCTGAGCAAAAATACTGTTTTTCCAAATGATAATTCAGCTGCAACAATCAGAAGCAAGTGGTTTAAAACAAGTGCTCTTGGAATTCAATTTTTAAAATAGTGGCTGTAGAACTATGCTTGTTACCTTTCGCTGCTGTGAAATATATGGGCATGGTTAGAATCACCAAGCACCAAAGCCCTCTGCTCAGTGCATCAGTCGAGAGCAAGCGTAGGTCACTCATTGTTGCGGCTGATCAGAGCAACTAATGACCCTGGAGTGCGACCCTCTCCGCTGCGGTAGACAATGTGTGGTGCTGAGCTGGAATGAGAGTTGGGGAGAAGAATCTGCGTCTCTAGGAAGGAATAAGTCACACAAAGTCACAAGCAAAATATTTATGTAGCCATGATTTTTACAGATTCAAGCTCTTCCAAGGAAAATAATCAATCAACACATGTTCAATAAGTACACATATATCCGACAGCAAATTTCAGACATGTATTTATTCCTACTGTTCTTTTGGACCATATGACCCTTCCAGTGATCCGGTTATTTGATAATTCGGTTTTTTCAATCTTTTGAAAATGCATTCAAAGAGCCCCAATCAAGAGGAAAGAAAATGAATTATTATTTTAAAATATTAAAGTCATAAAGTTCAATAGCCTTTAGAAAATGCAGTCACATATAAAACACAGACCTCTGCCCAACACCGTAATCATCACAAAACAGCCAAGCAAAAAGAAAAACTAGAACTAAAGCATCAGACAAAACTTATCCAAAACTATCCCAAACTCTCAAATATTTGTTCCGGCCTCAGCTTGTCTCTGAGGATCACCAAAGGGTTTTGTAGCATAGTTAAATTTCTGTGAACAATAATTAAATCATTTTTCAGTTTTCTTTCAGCGAAAGAATCAGTTCCTATATTTTTTCTCTTAAAACATCAGGAGAGAGATGGAGCCAATATAGAAATCTAGATACACAGGAGCAAACCCAGCAACCCTAAACATCTGTAAGAAAGCACATTTAGTCACAAATTGCTCTCCTTATCACAGACTTCAGGTAAGAGATACTGCTTACTCCCAAATGAAGGGCTGCAGGGCCTCAGCAGTGCCAGCAACCAGGCTAAGAATAGATCTTGGCTCTCCTGGCTGCAGGCTGTCTACAGAGGCAGCCTCTCTTTTATTTTAAACACTCAAAGACATCTGCCAAATATCTACTCAAGATGGGTATTGATTTACTAAATTAGTTCACATATATATTGGTTTGGTCTGATGGTTTTAAAAATAAAGTATCAGTTGGAATGTTAATGTAATAATCATGAAAATCCTTTTTTTTTCTTTTTTTTTAAGAATCGAAAAACTTTATCAAGAGAAAGAAAACTTCTGTCTCAGAAGGGCAAGAGAAGGCCTGCAAAGTGGGCTCCCTAATCATAAAATTCTGCAGAAGCACTTGACCAAGTCCAGATGTTGTAAAATGATTCAACCATCCATTGGATAGTTAATTCTTCATTAAAAGTGTAATACTTTAAATTTTAAAATAACAAAAAGTATAATAAAGTAAAAGTAAAACTCTGCATGTTACCTATCATTAGGGTCATTCACAGTTTACAGAGTAAAGTAACCCAGGGAGAGATTGGATAACTAAATTGACCTTGCTCATCTACTTGTGATAAGTGAGTGTATAACCAGATTTTGCCAATTAAAGCTGGGCTTTCTGAAACTCAAAGCCAAAGTGGGTTTTATTCCCTCAGTATCAACTGAAAATAAGATAAACCACAGTGAGAAAACTTTCCTTCTTATAACTGAGTCTGAGATGTTAGAGAAAGTCAGTTGGTCTACTGTACTGTACACCTCTTCTTAAAAAACAAAAACTAGACCCTTCTGACCTCTAACTCTTCCAACACCATCTGACACAGAACATGACAGTGGGTGGAACCCTGAAATGTGAAAGCACGAGCTCGTAATAAACAAATCAAGCAAGAGATTGAAACAGCCATGCATTTCTGCAAGCAAATCAGAATGCATCCAGTGTCTGGCTGTGTTTTAGGCTTTCTTATGACCACTCTACATTTTCAAAATTGATCTACTAAAGTCCACCTTGACTCTTGTCTTATTTTTTACTCATTGCTGAGACAAAATATCTGATGACCAAAGTTGGGGAACGAAAGGTTTATTTCTTACAGTTTTTGGAGGTTTCAGTCCGTACTCAGTTGGCTCCAAAGCAGGATGGCATGGAGGGGCCCCAGTTCACAGCTGCTGCAAACAGCGAGGAGGAAACAAGTAAAAGAGTCAGACACACCTTCTTCCTGCTATTACATCACATCCTGGATCCACCCCTAGTCCAGTGTAGCATTCACACCCCAATCGAAGTGATAGACAATGAACCAATCACAAATGCACAATGCAAATGCATGAGGTCTGGGGTCCACCCACATAAACCATGACCTTCCACCCCTGACTCCCAGCACTCATGTGCATCCTTTATACAAAAGACATTAGTCCATCTCCAAGAGTTTCCATGTCCTAATAGCGTCAGCATTACTGGAAAGTCAAAGTCCCAAGTCTCCTCTAAGATCTGTGGCAAACTCTTAACTGTAACCCTCTGTACAAATGAAACAAGGTTAAACATTTCTGAAATGCAAAGGCACAAGATAAATATTACCATTCCAAAAGTTACAAGCAGGGGAATTTAAAGCATTGGAAACAAAGCAAGTCCAACATCCAGGAGGGTGAACAGTAAGTCCTAGAGTTTCATGCTCAGCATTTGAAGCAATCTGGTTGCAAGCTCCAAAAGGCTTGGCTGATTCCACCCCCATGGCACTTCAGCTCCTGTAGCTTTTCTCTTAAATCCTCTCTGCTCAGGCCTCAATGAATGGGGCAGACAGTGGAATGAGGGAGTAAGCTAGACAAATTATAGCAGTAAAGTGGAGTAGCACACGTGAGGCAGACATGATCTTGAAGACCTAAAAGGCCTTCATCATGCTGTAATGATTTGATTAGTCCTATAATATGCGGTATGTATTTAATGTGCGTGAACATGGGGACAACTATTTGGAAGAAACTAGAGACAATTAGATAAATAGTGAAGATCTCCAGTGGACTTGTTTTGAAATCTGTATTTCTTTAAATTGTTTCTTTTCAAACTGTTTTGTTCTGTTTTGATATGTTTAATCTTACCCTCTTTAAGATAAAAAACAAGTGTGTAGGACTGATAACCATATTACTAAGTTTTTGTTAGATCATTGAGCAGAACTGTTGGCAGTTTCACTATTTGAATGTCACTTTACATACTTTAATTTTGTAACCTGAATAACTATTTCTAAGATGACAATATGTAACTTATCAACTGGTGATTTCTTACTGTTTATTTTTCTGTAATTCTGTATTATTTCTACCCTTTTTTCCCTCCATGTATTTTTTGTTTCTTACTCTTTAAATAAAAAAAAATTTCTAAAATAAATAAGTAAATAAATAAAAATAAATCCTCTCTGCCCACTTTTTGCAGCTTTGCTTGGATCATCCATGTTCTTAGCTTTTCCAGACTTCTGGAGTCTCCATGGACCTTTGACTTCATCTTTACATCTTTACAAATTGCTCTCTCAGGGGCACACTGGTTGCCTTCTAGGCCCTTTGCAATTGAGGTGGAAGCCATATTACGTTCAGAATTTGTACATTTTCCTTACACCTAAAATCAGCACCTTGTGGATGCCACCAAAGTCTGCTGCCAGCTGAAGCAGTAGCCAGGCTTTTCTCTCTTGGCTGTAGGTGTCAATTGCCTGGATCATTGGGCCCTGTGAACCTGTTTGTGAAGTAAAGCTTCTCTATGTTGCTGCCATTCTGGAACCTCATGTGGTCTCTGTCACCATGCTGGAGCATGGCTTTCTGTAGTTTTCCATCTGAGCAAATTCTTTGACTTTTGCCTGCTTCCTGGGATGCCCCTGGCCATCTTTCTTATCTCTCTGTTTCTCCTCAGGAATCAGAGTCTTAATTCTGTCTTTACAATCCACAGCATTCCTGGAATTTTCCTTCTGGCCAAACTCACAGTATTGCAAGTTACCCTGCAGGGCTCTTTGCTCTTGATTTGCAACATAAAGCTGGCTAAAAGCCCCCAACAATAACCATGCCACAGCCTCAATATTCTATTGCTTTGAAATTTCCTTTTCTAGACTAATCAATCCATTGCCCTTTGTTTCAGTCTCAGGCAAACTCTCTAGGCATGAGCAAAATGCAGACAAACTTTCTGCCAAGGCATAACACACATCATGGGGAGTCCAACAACCAATGTAATCCTTCTTCCCAGCAGAAACCTCCCAAGCCTGGTCTTTACCATGAGGCTTTCTATCAGCATTCTGGTCTCCTGAGCTCTGACCAGAATCTCCACTACAGAAGAGCCTAAGCTGCTCCAGCTCTGTACATCCAGGCAACATGTCTGAACCTTTCCAAACTCTGCCCACAAGCCATTTCCAAAGCCTCTCCAAAAACATGGTCAGGTATAGTCACAGCAAACAACCCCAGTCCTCAGTACCAAATTCTGTCTTAGTTACTTTTTACTCTTTGCTGAGACAAAATACCTGATCACCAAAGTTGGGGAAGGAAAGGTTTATTTCTTACAGTTTTTGGAGATTTCAGTCCATACTCAGTTGGCTCCAAAGCAGGATGGCACAGCGAGGGCCCAGTTCACAGGTGCTGCAAACAGCAAGGAGGAAACAGGCAAAAGACGGAGACACACCTTCTTCCTGCTGTTACATCACATCCTGGCTCCACCCCGAAGGCAGCCCCAACATAAATCATGACATCTCTTTTCCTTTGCTTCTGGTTTATAGTGTTGAAAACTTTTATGTGCCCACTTACAATCATTTATTTGAAATTGTCCTTGATAAATGTAAGTAAGTAAAATGAAATACAATTTCTATGGCCCAAGTAACAGAGAGCTGTGGGCAATTGGATAATGATCCTCAAATATTTTACAAATCAGACAGTTCCATGTGAGCTTGCTCATCAGAGTAGCCCAGGTCACAGCTATGTACAAGTGTTAATGCTGAAACATCCCTGAGCTTACTGTATGCCCTCTGAGAACCCAGGAAACTGCGATGCTAGACTTTCATAGTAAAGATGGTTGGGAACTCTCAGTAATTCTCACAAGAGCTAGCAGGGAGCAGATTTCTTCGTATTCAATGAGAGAGCACCTTTCTATCATTATTAAAAAATTTTTAACAAAAACTTCTCAAGAATGGAAAAAAATGAACATGTAGGTGCTAATACATGATAACTTGAAACATGATATGATTTTCCTGTAAAAAATGTTTAATTAGGGATCTCCAAGCTGCAAATACATATTTTAAAACCTGAATTTCACTGTGTTTATCCATTGTTTGAGCAAATAGTATGTCTATTTAAACAGGATGGCTTACATTTTCCTCACTGGTACTATAGATCTCGGACTTCCTCAGCACTGACATTCTCACCACCTGTTTTTTTTCTTGGATTTTTTCTTAGCTTTTTAAAAAACTAGTACATGCTTGCAGTACATGCAGTTTATAGTCATCTCACGGAGTAGGTTCATGTACATACTGCAGCTGGTTTCTTTCTATTTATTTACTGTTTTAAATCTGTTCCCCTTGCCTCATTTTTCCCTCCCACTTCCTCCAGTTTCCCATTCCGATGTTCGGGCTTGTTGCTGTTATTAATCTTAACCCACATCATAGCATAGGATGTTTACAATCTTTGGGGTTATTGGGTTCCTGTGCATGACTGGTCTTTAGTATACTCCCCTCCCCTCCCCCTCCTCTTCACCCCTTACCCTTTTCCCTTGAACTACTTCCCTATTGCAACAGATTCACCCCCAGCCCTGTTTTTCTGTCCTTTATTATTCTCTGTTGTACTTTGTCTCACTTTATGAGAGGTACTGCACGGTGTTTAAGCCTGCGTGCCT